CTCCTCCCTCTCAGTCATCCTCCTCAGCCATCCTCCTCAGTCCTCCTCCTTCTCAGTCCTCCTCAGTCCTCCTCTTGAGTCCTCCTCCTCCTCAGTCATCCTTCTCAGTTCTCCTCCTCCTCCTAGGTCCTCCTTCTGGGTCCTCCTCCTCCTCCTCCTCCTGGGTCTTCCTGATCCTTCTCCTCCCTCTCAGTCATCCTCCTCAGTCATCCTCCTCAGTCATCCTCCTCAGCCATCCTCCATAGCCATCCTTCTCAGCCATCCTCCTCAGTACTCTTCAGTACTCTTCAGTACTCTTCAGTCCTCAAAATGTTTGTCCGCTAATGTCCACCAATGTCCGCTAATGTCCACTAATGTCCATCTAAGTCCGCCAATGTCCGTCCGGGTCCGCCAATGTCCGTCTGAGTCCGCCAATGTCCGTCCGAGTCCGCCAATGTCCGTCCGAGTCCGCCAATGTCCGTCCGAGTCCGCCAATGTCCGTCCGAGTCCGCCAATGTCCGTCCGTGTCCGCCAATGTCCCAAAAAACACGTCCGTTGTCTCATAGAATCCAAAAAGGACAGGACATAGGCGGACATAGACGGACATGACACCCCCCCCCCCCCCCCCCCCCCCCATTATTATATACCAAATATTTAGCATTATTGAAAATCACGTTTTAGTCCTGCTTGGTCAGTCAATATATTCTTAAACCACTCCTAAATAACTTTTAAATCTACACCTGTTCCTCATGAAATGTCTGATTAAGACTGGGTTTATTGCCGCAGTTGTTCAATTTGCGTGCTGTATAGTGTGTAGTGTACATATTATATAAAACATCTTAATAAGGGTTGAACTCTTGGTTTTCGTTTGTTTAATTGTATTCCATAATTTGATCAGTTCTTTACCCTCTCTTTTTTCATCGCTGTTATGTATCGAAATCAATAAATATCGCTTTTCTGTTTGAATAATAATTGTGAGCTCACATATTTAACAACATATATTATTATAAAATATCTGTTTGATGGCTGTCAGGAGAGCGTTTTAAAATAGAAAATGTCACCGGGGTTATCATAAAAATGTCATCACTAATTACAAACTTAGTTTCATTGCGTCTTAATATTACACACACCTGCCCTGCACACAATCTGCTCATTCTACATGAATTATTGTACATATATCTTGGTAGTTTGCCAGTCAGGTGGCCCCACCAACGTGTCACGTGGTTACCATATTTGGTCATGTGACGTCACGTTGTATCCTTATACGGTCATGTGACTGTGAGATCACGTGGTTTGGAGAGATGTGTAACGTGATAAAATGCTCCTGTTATGATATAAAACAGTGCAAGATTTGCTTGCCAATTTAGTTATCGTGTGTGAGCTTACAGAGTCATGTAATGATCTAGAAGAAATATTTTTAAATTAGTACAGTAGTGGTAAGAACAAGACTAGAAGGACTAGTCTTGTAGTACTAGTCTAGTAGTACTAGTCTAGTCTAGAGAACAAGACTTGAACAACTAGTCTTGTTCTCGTAAGATGAGGTCGTGAAATGTGAAACTGAAGTTGAATTATATTTAAGTTGAGAATGTGCTGTAATACTAATGTGCGAGATTTATCTAGGGTTTGAACTGAGCGATAAAAGAATAAGCTTAAGAAAGTTAAGATCGCCTGTAAAAATTTTCTTGTGCAATAATTGTAACATTATGTGCCCTTCAGACAGGTTATTTCTGGAAAACGGAAACAGAAAATCAGCAAATCTTATTATTTCGTGTTTTTATATTTCATAGCTCACCATTCAAACTACCTGGGCCGAAATATAAAATTTTTATTAGTTTTTTATAACTTTTTATTTCGATGTCCTTGTCAACACTGTACCACATTGTAAAAACCTGTTGAAATTTCAAACCATAACCCGAAGTTACTGGTTGCCGGGTTACTGGTTGCCAGGCGGTGGTGGAAACACACCTTTATCCACCTCATATTCTAAAAACGTGCAACCACAACCTATACTAGAAAAAGTAAGGTCACATCTGTTCCATATACCACTAACCACTCTTTAATATTCAAACAAGGTTGTATGTAAGACTTGTAAGTGTAACATGATTGGATTGGTCGGTTTATACATTCCCCGCGGCCGCATACCGTGAATACCTTAATGAAGGAGGAATAAACATACCCCGGTCTCCATATCCTAGCTCTCAATTAATACACAAGCTTGGTATAAGATTATATTATGTACCTGCATTTTAATTAATACAATTATTAAACCAGTGCACGTGTCACGGGGATCTGGCCAGTGGTTTGGTGAGTGTATTGCACGTGCACCTGCGCGCACAGCACGTGCTGTTGTGCGGGCAATAAGAGAGATTTCCAGCACCACGTGACTAATCAAAATAATGTAACGTGACAAAGTAACGCTTATACACCACTAATACGGAGGCTATGAGAGTGTGAGTGTGTGCGGCTTGCTTTGCTCCTAGGTTACCATGTTGAGTGTGGTCTCATTTGTCACATGGTATAACGATCAAGTCACGTGGTTTATACCCAGCATACCCTCTTTGTGAATTAAACATACATCGTCCCTTCGTACATTATTTACTACCTTCTTGTCTAGTTGGCTTCTTGTTGCATCGTCAGCAGAGATCCACCTGTCCCGGGCTCTCCCTCGAAGTCTACACCCGCACCCACGACTGGTTCCGGTCCCATGCTAAAATATTTACCACATTTTGTGTTGCATAAATTCCTTTGCCTTCGGTCGAACTTTGGTACCATTATGACATATTTCTACTTCTAGACTTTTGTTAAAATCTAGAGGTTTACATATTCAACTTACTTAACATATTATTCAGAATTGAGTTTCTTTAGTTAATCAAACTAACTTAGCACAGGCATTTCAACACATTTCACAATTTATTGCTATATGTGAGCTGTAAAGGTTATCTTATTATATCTCTTATACAGTTTAAATACTAACTACTAAGTACTGGTGCCCCGCCTCCATTCTAGTTATAATAAGCAAGTGCACCAACTCTTGCAGCAAACCTTTTAAAATTTAATTATATTTATTGGGCAGCATGGTCAACCGTTTCCATATTAAGTCCGATGTCAGTTATAAGAACTTTTGATATGTTGTAGAATGCAGAGCTCGGTTTAAATTCTCAATCGTTTTTGTCCTCACCGGAAAAAAGTTCCGATCTGGAGATATCGCGAGTTAAATTTTTAAATTTATTATCTGTAATTATTTATTGTAAATGAAAACTTCAACCGATGGATGTCCAATTTTTCCATGAAAAATTTTAATTTTAGAAACGGTTATTATATGCGAGGTTAACTGATTAAATTATTGTTAGCCTCAATTTTACGAAAAATTAGGCGCGACTAGGGGTGGTACCGGTGGTGTGCGGGCATCAGGTAGTACGTGGTCTGTCCACTGACAAAACTTGAATCCCGAATTTTATTGCTTTTCTGAGTCTCCGTTTTTATCATTTTCCTTTCTCTCCTGCCCTTGCTATGGTTACTTTCCTTAACTTATATTTTTATTTATAACTTTTATTAATTTATATTTTCGCCTCTTCTGTCCAGAAATTCATTATGCTCGCTTCCCTGTCAGTCGTGGCTCCACCCTGCAGGCTTCAAGCCAATCTCTTTAGCTCCAGCAGCCCTAACAATGAACAAGTGAACGGTTCTCGCCATCACCGCCTAATAGGCAGCGGGAATCAGGCTAAATAGTTGGTATTTTAATGGGTACCGTTTAAAATAGTGCCCAGTTTCTTGTCGAAGAGAGCGGGTGTGTTTAGTGCCTTTTCAGTATAATGGTGGGTAAGCTATCATTCATATGTCACTTACACAGCAAATCGGGGTGACGGAGTTTTAGTGTTAAGAAACATCTCTCACTATCTCCTTCATTTAATGACAAGATTGCATTTTATATTCAAGGGAATAAAAGAACAAATCGGACACTTTAATATTTTACTTTGAGGTCTACATAAAATAAACCGTCGTAAAAATGCAGTTTCCAACTTTACTCACACAGAATGTACAGTACACGTCATTACAGGTATAATAATCCTCCCTTAAAGTAGATATTATACAACCAACTGATATAATCACGTGATTAACAACCGATTACGTGATTAGGAGACATTATGATATAACCTGTACTTTTAATTAGTTCCGTTACGTATACTACAAATGATGAGTATGTACCCAACCCCTGGCCCTTGATAACTGGGGTCGTCCTCTAATCTCACTAATTACATTATCATATATTGCACAGTAAACCCGACCTATAGCTAATAGCTATGTAATACAAGATAGGCTGATTTAATTGAACTCATTATTGAATAATCATGTAATAATGTTGATAAGCTAATTTGGTTTATAATAGTATAAATTTATTAGCTGGGTATACACTATACGTGTGTACAAAGTTAAAAGAGAAATCAGTGAATTATGCTTTTTGCTGGAGAATGTCAGGGGACTTTGTTTTATGAAGCTAAGGGCTTTTTCATCATCGTTGCTAGAGCTAATGTTAACTAACCAACCTCTAATCGTAGTATATATAAGAAAGCAATAATTCATAAAGATAAATATTATTGATATCCACGATAATGTGTTGGGAAATTATGTTGCTCGTATTGGGATTATTTAATGTGGTTTGGAAATGTTAGCTGATGATTTTATTATTTGTAACGTACTTGCTATCCTCTCCTCTCCGTTCCTATTTCTTCTCTCTCTCTCTCTCTCTCTCTCTCTTGGCCACTAATCAGCTCCGAAAACAATTTACCAAATTTCATCTCGTAATGAGTGCAATTTCAGTGCTGTGACCCGCATTCTCCAAATTGTACTCACATGACGGGGCAATCTAAATTCTGAATGGTTAATTTGAGTCACGTGGTTGCATACTTGCTTCCTATTCGCTGTTACAGCATCACACGTGACTTCCTAATATGGTATTGTCTGGCACGTGGCATGTCACGTGATTGTGTTCTGCTCATACTAATTGCTATTCTCTCTGCTAGGAGTACAAGGAAGACCCTGTTAATTTTAAACCGCTGACATGCGAAGAGTGAGTACTGTTCGTTCGTCTGTTTGTCCGTATGTTTCTGTTGTGTGATTGTTTTGACGTTTTATTATCAGCACGCATATTATGAAGTATTGTTATTAAATAAAATTGCGTAATATTACACAATTTTATGAACTTAGTTAAATTTTGTTTTTGTTAATCATCTAAATTATCCCTTAATGTTTCGTACCATGCTTTAAAGAGTTAAATATAACAATCCATTTTCGTTAATTTTATCAGAAAAGTTTTATTATATAATCAAAGTGTTGAAAGAACTAGCATTTCGAATCTTCAGTATCGTGAGAATTAAAAATGAAAAGAAACAGCGGTCATTGGAAAAGAAACAGAAAATGGCAGAGAGCAGAAAGCATCTATCAGATATCAGGTTTGTCGGGCGCGCGGCTCTTTATCTTTTCAATTTTATACCTATTCACGCACTTTTGAGAGTTACATTTACATTTGCTAATTAATCATAAATTAAATTGCTATCTTAACGGCGAACTACATTGTGGTATAATGTTACTCTGCGTGTTTTGGTTAGACACCAAGATATGTTGCATCACGTTAAATATTTAGCATACCATAATCAAGTAAGTTACACCCTACATACACAATGGCATTGTTATTACGTTATTAGTCCCTTAGTTTCTTATTGAATGTGGCGAGCATTATGACGTCACAAGTGTTGCTCAGACCCCACTCATCCTTTATACTACATTCTCCACATATCTTGATCCTGCACACTATAAACCTCCACAATACAGAACGATACTACAAACCTGCATAATATTCCTGAATATTCCACATTTTTACATATAATTATGTGAAGATAGAACTGCACAGTCTCTTCATTCAGTCAGCGTCCTTTTTAAAAAGTCACTTTACGCCAGTGTTTTTCACGTATGATCTCCCCGGATCAGCTCGAGTTACTAATTTACTCCGCAAATAATGGCGTTATCTGGCCACCTTATTAAAACAGTTGATTGTTCTGGTCTATTTGGCCAGATCAGATGTTATATTCCATCTGTTCTGTTACATTTCATAACTTAAATATAGAATGTGATGAAAGTCATGGGATTGAAGTGTAAAATTGTAGCGCGCACGTAAATTGTAACGTATTCATGAAGGAAAATATGTTATTACTCAAATGAAGTTAACTATAAACTAATTAACTTAATTAATATTTCAGAGTGTTGCAGCGTAACCTGGTGTTTGTCACTGGAATTCCTCCTAAGTTAGCGGACGTAGAGGTAAGATACTCTTACATTCCGATAATACTTTATACTTTTAATCAGTTGATTTTGACTCACTTTAAAAAGAAGCAAGCATGATCAACTATATTATATTTTATACCCATTAATCATGAATGTCTTCAGATTTTAAAAAAGCCGGAGTATTTTGGGCGGTACGGTAAAATACACAAGTGTGTATTAAATCAACAGGGACCAGTCGCCACCGCCTACGCAACATACGTCCGCGATGAGGTACGACACTTTCACTTTAAGGATATTGTCCAAATCGTCTAAATTCTTCTAAGTCATATGCCACCACTGTTTTATAATTGCAGTGGATTGTTTGTCCATCAATTACCACCCAAGATATTCCTCACGAGAGCAGTCTAGCTCAATTTTATAAATATTATAGATTTTAACTCTTTAAGCAAGTCTAGTCCTTCATTTAAGGTCGAGAGAATCTTCCGAAAAAGTAGATTTTTATGATAAAATCAGTTTTCACATGTTAAGGATAGGTTGGGAAAGAATTAAGTCAATGACTTTTTATCTATGTATTGAACTGTGCAATGTTGTTGTGGGTATGTAAATGACTACAATAGCTGAGTGTTATTTACATTATTGTCTTTGTAAACAATCCTTGTTATTAAGAAATTGTTACATTACACTGATTCTCACTTACTTTCAACCCATCACAGAGACAGCATCTAGAACAACTATGTCTTTTCTTTTGATAAGATGTAAATAATCTGCCTATTTAATCGTGAGGATCACAACACGAATATTTAATTGTTACTGTATTTTTTTTCAGTACTATAGATTAAGTGTACCAGTCAACAATGCATTGTTAATCATACTCTCCTTTGTCCCCTTTACCTTACTTGCGCCGCTTGGCAAATTGTCAAGATTTATTTCATTTAAATAATAAATATAGCATAATATAACAATAGCCAGTTTTGCCACTATCTCACAAGTCACAAGACTGCTGGCTCACACAGTGTACAAGTAGTGGATGAAATCATCTGTAGAATGCATTCAGTTATTATCTTGATAGTGACATTGTTCCTCTATACGAATAATGATAATACGCGTTATGTCAACATAATTATTGTTATAACTTTTTTAATGTGTGTTACTGAAGTTTAGTGTGTGTCCATTAAAGGGGGGCGGGGGGGTCACCCTGATTTTTAATGTTATAGTCTGGTTTTAATTAAAGGATGATCAAGGTAAAAGATATTTAATTTTGATCTAGAAAAACTGGATTGTCATAAAAGATGTGTATATCAGATCATGTTTTCTAAACTGCGATACTACATCATCCTGAGAAACTGTAATATTAATATGATCAATTGCAGGACGCATTCAAAGCAGTGTTGGGTATTAACGGGACGTATCTTCAGAACAACATTTTAAGGTAAAAACTCTTTAAAACTATATCTACTCTTAACCATTAATTAATGTTTTCATTGTTACTTCCAGTTTCATAGTAATGTTGAGAACTCATCCAGCTTGCGAGCAAGCTGCCTTAAAACTACAGTGGCGCAAAACGTCTCTACTCATACGCGTAGCTGCACGTGTATATAAGTAGATTGGTTATCGCCACGGCAGCGGCGCGCAGGCTGAGTTCTAGGAAGCATTTGACTATGTGTTAACTTTACAGAGCCTCTCTGGGTACGACAAAATACTGTAGTTACTTCCTCCGACATCTCCCTTGTCCAAAACAGGTATAGTTACCATAGCAACACGTTACCATAGTAAACCAAAATGTGCATTTTATCAAAGTTTATTTCTTTATTTTGATACTTTTGTTCTAAGATAACATTTTTTCTCAGATTGCAATTGGGATATTAAAATTATCACTTTTACCAGGATTGTATGTATCTACACGGATTAGGAGACAGTTCAGCTAGTTTCACTAAAGCAGATATGCAAGCCGGCAAACACCAGCAGTACGAGAATATTATCTTCAGAGAGTAAGTTAACTTAACATAACTGCTTACAGAAATTTTGTTGATTGCATTAATAAAGTTTTAAATAAGTTTGCCGATTGTAACACAATTTTGGATTAAGTCATCGTATTATATCATCTAACATTAACCTGGAAAATTGAAAGAAATTCCATTTTGGAAAAAAGTAAATCCATCAACGTGAACCATCGTCCGATTTTTGTTCTGACTGAAGCGGAAATGACACCTACATAGCAATACAGTTTACACGTAACATGCCTTGATCTCGTAACCTGATAAGATATAACATCATGGGACTGTAGACATTTATCAGTGTAACGAGATTCCCTTGGCCCACTCCCAAACAGCATAATGTCATTATGCGGTGTGGGATCTGTGTTCATCTCCCTCCTAGCACATTCCACCAATATACGCGGGATTTTACTCTTACCCCCAAACATTTCAGGTATTTCAGTAAAAAGGCTGAGACCATGAAACAGAATATGTCAAGACAGAAAATAACTGCTAAAGGTTTGAAATTTGACGGGTTAAAATGCTCGATTTGCTTAACGTTTCATTACGAACAGTAGTTTTATCAGCGCAGAGTTAACCCTGTTCCCACTTGGTCGTAAAATCCACTACTCGTAATGAGTTGTAGATAATTTATGACTGATTTGTAATAATTATCTCATTTAATAATCTAATCACCTAGACGACTTAACGTGTGGAACTGCAGCTACGCGCGACGCGTGGTGCGCTCAACCCGCCGAGCTACTGGACAACCGTAATATCAGGTCCATGAGCGAGAGTGAACACAGTTTCTACAACAAGACGTCCATATCCGACCCAGACCTTAGTTCAGGTATTTGAAAAATATGTGGTAGTAAATCTTGACTTACACCGACAGTTCAGTGTAAATTAATTAGCGTCATATTAATTACCATGTTGTATTGATAGTCATGAACTCATTTTTGCAGGAAGTCGAGAATCGGGTTCTTTAGAACCGCCGAATACAGCAGACTGGAATGAAATTAATAGTCAACGACGAAATTCTCTGTCTTCTCCGTCAGAGGACGAATTAGGTGACTAGAAATTTCTCACGGAATATTGCAATATTTGCCATAATGAAAGTGAAACTCTGCGCGCGGCGCGGAGGTCTACTAGAATACTAAGTGTGAGCATTACAATTTTCTGTCACTTTGTAAGTAAAGTCAGTTGTTCAAAGCATTTAGTGTGTTTAGGCGCGCCGCGCGCGCATTAGATTCTTGGACTCTTCTGAATCAAGCAGATTATTTCTGCAGTTCTCAATTTAATAGTCGGATCCCAACCATTCTAACAGGCCGTCTCGTTAACTTTTCGTGTTAAAAGCGATTTCTCGACGGTTATCATTTCTCTAGATGATGCTTAAAACATTTTGACATTTTGACGATCTCATTTTTCAAATAAATGCAATACGGGTGTTTTCGGCCGCACCCTTTTTCAGGGTTTCGCGGTCACTCGAATTTTTGTATTTCGGCCCAGAAACGTCGTAGAGACTATTCCCATACACCAAAATGTGCCTAATAGCCATATTTATATACAACTTATGAAGCAAAATATACCCTAAAAGGCTTATTTTCGGAAATGTGGCTGAAAAACGGATTTTTGCCGAGCGAACAATGACAATATTCACAAATGGGCTATTGGACTGTCAACTAGAAAGGTCCTAAAGACTCATGAGCAACATAACATTTGTCACAAGATGTAAGATGACTCGCTTTGTGTCCAGAAACACCTAAAAAAATCGGAGAATGATCTACTTTATTGGGCATCTCTCTTATTGGGCCTGGCCAGCATATTTTTGTCCTACGAAAGGGCAATTTTTCAAAATTACGGTTTCTTTATTAGTAAAGGTCAAAGGGTCAGCTGCTAACAGCAAATTGTTCGCAATTGCCGACTCATGCACAACATATACTCAGAAACGCTTAGTTTAGGAGTGATTAGTAAATAAGTTTAACTACTGCATGATTTGTGAAAACTCCAACAATTTTTCATTGGCACGAATTTAGCCAAAATGTAATGACCAAAATTCAACTTTTAATTTATTCATTCCATGAAACTATGACATGTACTAAGAATACCAGACCTTAAATAATTCGGCACTGGATCCGGGCCAGATTGTTGCTTGACCACTGACCAGTACTCCACTTTATAATTATAATTGTCTTCGCTGCCTCGACCAATATTGGTCTGTAATCCCTGGATTGAGATCTGTTGGCCGCAGTTTAATTTAGCTCATTTACCATAATAGTAATACTGCAAAAAGAATATGGGGTCATTCTGAAGTGGGAACCAAACCACTGCGGTATTATAGGAAATTAGCTAAATTTAACTGCGGCCAACTTTTTTTGACATTTGAGATCTGTTGGCCGCAGTTTAATTTAGCTCATTTACCATAATAGTAATACCGCAAAAAGAATATGGGGTTATTCTGAAGTGGGAACCAAACCACTGCGGTATTATAAGAAATTAGCTAAATTTAACTGCGGCCAACACATCTCAATCCAGGGATTACAGACCAATATTGGTCGAGGCAGCGAAGTCAATTATAATTATAAAGTGGGGTACTGGTCAGTGGTCAAGCAACAATCTGGCCCGGATCCAGTGCCGAATTTTTTCCGAAAATAAGTATTTTAAGGTATACATTGCTTCATAAGTTGTACATAAATATGGCTATTGGGCACATTTTGGTGTATGGGAATAGTCTCTATACGATGTTTCTGGGCTGAAATACAAAAGTGACCTCGAAACCCTGAAAAAGGGTGCAGCCGAAAACACCCGTATTGCATTTAGTACAAAAATGCAATAGAGTCAAAATGTTTTAAGCATCATCTAGAGAGGTGATAACCGTCGAGAAATCGCTTTTAACACATAAAGCTAACGAGTTTCCCTTTCGTCTCGGACTATAATTATTGATATGCTGCAGCTATCGTATCACTAAAAATGGATTCTCCGAGAGACGTTAACTCGCTATCTCTCTCAGATTTCGACCCCTGGGAAATCAGTAAAGATGGCCTTGAAGAGCTAATCCAGAATCAAAGTCAGGCCGGCTCAGGTGAGACTCGAAATTCTCTCGACTTATAAATGATAAATAATAAACTTATAAAAATAACCACTAAAAATTCAAGTTTACACTCTGCTGTTCTTAACCCTGAAACCTATAGTTACATTTCACCGTTAATATAATGTAAATATTTCAGAATCTCCTACAACGTCCTCAGTCCCTCAGCTACCCACAACTACCACACAGCCTAGCTTCAATATGACATCACATTTTCAGGTCGGTTTTCTTGTTCAGCTGTTGAAATTCTTCGTTTTATAGTTTTTAATTTAATTTTGGTCTTTGGAGACAACCAATAAAACTTTTAAGTCATGTTAGGAACGGTATGTTAAATTACCGATTGTATTGATTTAACTAAATCTTAATGTTTCAGGTTCAGAATAATTTTATAAATCACATTCAACCAAAACCAGAGCCGTTTTCCTTCCAGTCATTTCAACAAAATCAGCCCTCTCAGCCATTCGCCCCATTTAGCCTATCAGGTAAGCATTACACTTATCATTCCCCTCAATGTTATTACTTGGAGGAGTAAAATATCTGATGATCGAATAGTATAGTGTTAGCTTCAAATTCATGAATCTGTCGGTTTTAAAGAAGGTCTAACTAACTTATTATTATTTTCCAGGATTACAACAGCCCCACCACAACCCAAACTCAGTGGATCGTCTGTTTGGGGGGATCCCATCCCACATGGGTCCCTTGCCCCAGTTCAACCAGAAGAAATCCTTCTCCGTATCAGATGGATTCTACAACGGGTACGACGGGGCACCCCCCACCGTGCCTCACTTCAGCGACATCAGACTCCACGACCCCAGCATAGTGTCCACCTCACCGCAGGATCTGAGGAGAGTTAACAGCTCTCCCGCCGCCCCCCAGCAGAACGCACTTGACATGAGCTCCCTGCAACAAGGCCTGCAGGAACTATTCCCACACGCTAATATCAGCTTCTCTGGTTAGTCTCTTTCGGCTGTTGTAACCTTAGTGTTGTTATTGTAGTTGTAGGAATTGAGTTTGCAGTGTTATCTTTATTTGATGAGTATTGACTAGAGGAACAGAATGACATGAAATGAAAGAATTCATTAAATTGTTGCTTTCTTGAATATTCGTGTGTGTTTGACATGTGTGCATTGTGAATAACTTGCTGTTTTGCAATGATGAACTCATCTACTATACTGTTTTCTCAAATTCTAAGTTTTTAAGAGACCTGAAATAACAACCTAGAATAAGCAAATAACGACCCCTTAATTAAGCAAATAACGATTCCTTAATTAAGCCCCTTAATTAAGCAAATAAGGACCCCTTAATTAAGCAAATAACGACCCCTTAATTAAGCAAATAACGACCCCTTAATTAAGCAAATAACGACCCCTTAATTAAGCAAATAAGGACCCCTTAATTAAGCAAAATAACGACCCCTTAATAAGCAAATAAGGACCCCTTAATTAAGCAAATAACGACCCCTTAATTAAACAAATAACGTAACGACCCCTTAATTAAGCAAATAACGACCCCTTAATTAAGCAAATAACGACCCCTTAATTAAGCAAATAAGGACCCCTTAATTAAGCAAATAACGACCCCTTAATTAAGCAAATAAGGACCCCTTAATTAAGCAAATAACGACCCCTTAATTAAACAAATAACGACCCCTTAATTAAGCAAATAACGATCCCTTAATTAAGCAAATAACGACCCCTTAATTAAGCAAATAACGACCCCTTAATTAAGCAAATAACGACCCCTTAATTAAGCAAATAACGACCCCTTAATTAAGCAAATAACGACCCCTTAATTAAGCAAATAACGGCTCCTTAATTAAGCAAATAACGACCCTTAATTAAGCAAATAACGACCCCTTAATTAAGCAAATAAGGACCCCTTAATTAAGCAAATAAGGACCCCTTAATTAAGCAAATAACGACCCCTCAATTAAGCAAATAACGACCCCTCAATTAAGCAAATAACGACCCCTCAATTAAGCAAATAACGACCCCTAACGCCTATGTGTGTTTAGATCCAAACCCGTTTGGGAGTGAGGGACTGTACGGTGCGGGGAGAGCTGCTAACGACATGTGTAAGAGAATGTGTGTGTGTTTGTGTGTGCGTGTGTTTGTGTGTTCGTGCACACTCCTTCCTTGGTCCTCCCCCAGCCTTCGTTTTGTTTACAAGCGGATGTAGGGGTCTATCAATGGTTGATTTTGTGATGTGTGCTGACGGTTTTGAGCTACGCATGTTATATCTTATCTATTTATTGTAGGCTATATTGTACCTTTAAACAAAGCATAGTGAGGGGTAGTGTCAACCCGGATATTACAATACAGCCGCTCATTCCTTAAGAAGAATTGATAAAAACCATCTAATCGTCTATTGATAGTTGAACTAACACATTGAACTACCCACCTCTTTTCTTATTGCTCAATTTACTAAGGCACAGAGCACTGCAACAGAGACATGTAATAAACCTGGCTGACCTATCCTCACCTCTGATCAAAAGTCGAGTGATAGTCTGAAATGAATTGCGAAATTATATTGTGAACTGCTTTAACTATCCAGATTTTAGGTCAACTACTTTATGAACTTATGACTACCATTTTTCTTGATTTTTGATTGCCTAATTCTTGATTATTTAATTCAAATTTTTGATAAATCCTATGTCAGGTCAGCGAGTGCGTCAGGCGCCCCCTGGATTTCAGAATGTAACACCCAACCATACAAATTTGCTTCTCTGCCAACAGCTACAGAATGAACATAAAGTCATTAAGATTCAGTGAGTATTTAAATTTCGTTCATTTTCAGATGTTTTGATTGAGCTTTTATCCTATTCATTCTCCATTCCACGCCGGAGTTCCAGACTTTCGTTTACCACTTTGAAGTTTTATTAACATTCTCTCTATTTCAGATAAGAAGACACGTTAATAGATTTAAAAAGACTGAAAGAATTGCTAGGAGTTTGTTTTTGTAAAAACCGCTTTTGCTCTTAATTTGCTTGCCAGCTCTCTCTGTTCCTCTGCTTGAGCTAGAATTGTAGAGAAGTGGGAATTGATTAAAAAATTTGATTTGCCCCCTAATTTTAGAGCCAATATGTGTTAATGGTTTATGGGACCTGTGAGATGCGTGCTTTTCCAGGCTGCACGTGCTGTCGCGCGGTTTCATGCCGCGTAAAGCACGTTCAGATCTCCATGGCTAACACGCTTCTCCCGACCTGTAGCATGGAATTGTTGATTGTGGTGTTATATTTTGATTCTATGTAAAATCTTCGCGAAATTTCGAGGTATTTTTCTTTTTCGGAGCTAAACTCGAATGGAGTAAAGCGTATCATGGGCTTACCTGAATCAGAATGTCCCGCGATATCACACGTGATCGTCGCGTGACATTCAGATTCCGTCCCATTTTTCCTCATCCTGCATGGTATTGTACAGTTGTTTTGAAAATTTGAACACACTTATTCTTAGATCTCACACGTATAGTATGAAAGTGTTTACTTTGTTCATGAGAATCTGCGCCCAGGAATATAATTACTACTACATACTAACTACATAATTACATAATTAATTACATGATCTCAAAAACCATTTGAAAACTTTTTTGTCTCATCCCTTCCTACCCGGGTTATGGATAGCTTCGGAGTTAGGATTAGGATTTATGTAAAACCGTTTTGTTTGGCTACAAAACCATAAAAACTGAAGTCACGTGATATAATTTTGGGCGAGCGAATTAGAAAGAGCCCTTCCTATCTCATATCTTCTCCGAAAATCTGTGAAAATACTCAATATCAAATGTCGCCATTAGGTAGCATGAAGACAAGATGCTCTTCTACAAAATCACTGCCTAATATAACGTTTGATACATGTTTCGGCGCGCGAAAAGTGGCATGCAACGTATGTCAATATAACGTACACTTAACTAAAGTTTATGTATATTCGATATTTGATACCGATTCGTGTATCAAAATTATCATCATAACGGGTCGTTCGCATATTATTACGTAATCAGTTGGGGATGGGGGGTTTCAATAAAATGATTACGCTAGTGTAAACTTTGTGTAAAACTGATTACGGAGAGAGGAGGTGGGTTCAAAAGTCAAAATTGTCCAAATAAAAAATGGATTACGTATCCAGTATCATGTGAACGACCCCATGCATATAAATTTAATATTTATACCTTGCGCACGACATAGTATATGTGACATGAGGCCAGAACTAGCTCTAACCGCGGCTTGATTAGATTTCGACCGTTCTATGTACATGCTTATACGTTTCTGTTTTATGAGTAAGCTGTGGGATCGTGAACAGTGAAAGTAAGCTAGTATACGGATACCATGAATTACCAATGTATTTTTTACGCTGATACCTATTACATATATAATTGATAATAATAGAATATGACGAATTATGAGCAAATAACCATTTTTGTTATACGCGCGCACGTGACAGGCTTGTAAAACGATATTTAAGCTGTTTCATTTTAGCATTTTTGTTTGATTAAATCAAACAAAAATCCGATGGGATTCACTCACTTAACCAACTGTCATACGTTGTATGACCCGCCTGTATCGTCAAACGACCGTGGGGGTCACAACATGATACAATACTTTTGTAGGTTTATAACCAGGACGCGCGACGTGTTGGACTCGTCGATAATAATATATGAAAGAAATATTAACGAGTATCACCCGTTAAGAGGACTTCGACGCGCCGCGCAAAATAGCATTCTTGCACTTCGCATCATCGATTTTGAAGGTTTACAACCTACCAGGCACCAGGACGCGCGCCGAGTTGAACAGATATTTTACGAGTATCACCCGTTAACATCGTCGCTTGTTGCTTCGCGTCGCAGAGCAACGATCTCGATGGGTTGACATGACAGTTGACACCGTCAATCAAGTGTTATATTATAATATATGTTAAATCGTTTAAAATATTTCCCAACGGCCGGAGTTCTAGTTATTTTTTAAATTTTGATTTTTGATCAGATCTTAAAGTTGATTCAAGATGTCGATTCTTTGCAGCTCGGTAAGGCACAATAGTGCATTTTGCCGATCTACCGAAGGGATAAATTAATTGATGAAGAATTATTTGATGCGCGGCGCGACCCAGTAGTTAAGTGCATTGCGCTACAAATCTTAAAGCTTCTAGACTTAAATTAAAACGTTAAACTTTAAATAAATTACGTTGCGGCAAAAATAATTTGCAGTATTTGGCAATTGCACCGGCATAAATAATTTGTTGGTCAATCAGAAAGCTGGAAATTGGAATGTGGTCGTATTAGTTATGTATCACGTCGTGACCCCTACACCCTACGGTTGTTTCATTAGGTGGGTTTTTTAAATCGTCCTGACGGTACAGGGGAGCCGCGCACTCGTGCGCGGCGGGTCATACAACGTAAAATGACAAGGTCGTACGCAAGGAAAAAGGCCGAGGCGTGCGCCTGAAACAGCTGTAAAAACGTGCGCGGAGATAATATATATGATATTATTTAAGTTTAATGTTCGCTCCTCTCTTGTTTATTTGATATTGTTAATAGACTCTAGCCCGGTGCGCTTTACTTCGTAGCACTAATTGCTTTGGGCCAGTAACATCCGTCAAACTCCTTTCTTGAAAAGAGCGCTGCTCTTTCTTGAAAAGTGCGCCGCGCACAGGGACTGGTGTGCCAGGTAAAATAATAGTGATGAGCATACTGTAAAGAAATTATCGACATGTATAGAGGACGTTGCTACACGTTGTATACCTTCGTTCCACTAGGTGAAACGAACGTGGGGTCTTGACAATACAGGGGAGCCGTGCACTCGTGCGCGGCGGGTCATACAACATATGACAAGTTTTTAGTCCTTGCAATTGTCCTCATAGCGGAAGGAATATTTTACGCACCTCTAAGTGCTGTCAGAAGGCGAGGAGCACAATATAGTATGTAAACATTTTGAGATTAGGTTCAGTCATCTATAAATTGTGGTTAGCTTTAAGTTATACAATATTATATGTAGATTTGACCTATTTCAATGTGTATGTATTAGTTATCTCTACAGTTGCCTTGAGGATGCTCCTGCCAACTAAGATAACTTCTTCTTTATCTCCTTTTGAATATATCTGTATCAGGCTATTTGCCTTGCTCCTCAATGTAAGTTTTACAGCATACCCTGCTCCTTTTTGTGAATTTACTGTGATATATTTCTATCTACAGGAATAGATACCAGGGATGAGGTTTTAAAATTGGTTGACTTTCCGGGCATCTAATTCTGTATTAGGATTACATTAACTATGAAAATTTTTGGTGCAAATATTTTCGTCAAAATCTGAACTCAGGTCACGAAAATTTGAACACGTCTTACTGCTAAAAGCACCGTGCATATTTGTTTTATTTCAAGTATAGATATTGATTTTTGCATTTATTTTGATGGGATAATTGATTGTGTACAGAGTCAGTAGTCTATTGTTATTGTAAAACCCATGGTTCATCTTTAGACATTTCAGGAGTTATGATACATTTTAAAGAGTTTTTATGTAAAGATTTTATTTAGCTTATCTTAATTAAATGGACACTTCCGTCTTATTTAAGATTACTGTGTATTGAATATTGATTGATGGTTACTACTTGAGACATTGTAGGTATGTGTTTGCAAAAAATATGACAAAATTGATTCTCTTGAGTTCCCTTATGCTATCATACATTACTGAACAGCACAATGAAGATAATCTGGTCTCTATTATATCTTTTTTATACCTCTATTTTACGCTATATTATTTTGAAGAATACTGTTGGTTGTATAATACATTTTCAATATGCTCCTTAATACTTTCAACACTACTATATAACAAATAATTTGAGTGTTCAGGAATGGTATGTTACAACTCCCCCGAAGGGGCGTACTAAGCTAAGGGTCATCTACATTCTACACTCTATTAGGGTCATCTACACTTTACTAGGGTCATCAACTCTAAAGTCCTAATCCCCTCCAAAACAAAACACTTAACGGGAGCCGACCCCAAGTCGGATCTATTTGGTCAGTATTACTTACATTTGATTTGAAAATGGCGTCAAATACTAGGAAGAATTCAGGTACTCCTAAAACATCTAATAGCTTGTCTCGCAACATTTTAGTCGATCAATCTACAGTGGACAATGAAGATCAGGTAAACAGGAAACATAGGGACAAGAAGAAATGTCCATGTCAACGCTCTTTTAACGGTAAAGTTTACCTCATTGACTGTTCTAAGTGTCATCAAGAGTGGCATGTGGACTGCCTGTCTATGAAGGGTATAACGAGGTCAGCTATCAACTCCATGGTAGAATGGCTGTGCCCATACTGCTTCGTGGCACCAGTATCAACACTGAAGAAACAGAGAGACGAATTTTGTTACAGCTGCAGGAACACAAGGGCTTTGCAACAGGCCAACTCACATTTTGAAGCATCTACAGCTGTTAAGAATCTTGAAACTGTCAGTGCACTTGTGGCATCAGCAAGCTCAGCAGGCTCAGCTCTTGAAAAATTTGACTTCGAACAGTTCTCTAGGAACCTTGACACTCTCTCCCAGTTCGACGTTCACCTTCAACACCTGCTTCTTAAAGAGAACTCCCTTAATGGCCTAAATAATGAAATAAAGCTCCATGACAAATCATTAGAATCAATAAATACCAACATTGCTGAACTACAGAGGGACCTTAAACTTTTAGCATCTAGACCTTCCCCTGAATCATCCCCATCTACAGACTCATCTGAGCAGTTTCTGAAGAGCATCTCAGAACAACTCACCGCACTTTCTGCAAATGAGCCCACTGTAGCTGCAGGCATTGCTGAACTAAAACAGTCTATAAGTTCTATACAGCCATTGCATAACCCTGGTCCTTGCATTCCTCCCAACCTACCTCCTGCACAGCATCCTCGTCCTCCAGCACCACCTGTCCTTCTGCAGCCACCTCATCATGAGCAGAAACCTGTGGAACTGTTCAAAAACGATTATATAGATCAGAAGACTGCGGAAGAACTAGTTGACCTATTTGATTTGAGCAGCACAGACTTCAAAATTGAAAACGAACGCTCCTGCCTATCATATGGGGAACGGTACGATTATCTTGGATCTAAGTCGTCCAAGACACCAAAGGCAATACCACCACCCTTGAGAAAACTCATCGACAGAATCAACAGTGAGTTTTGTTCAGGTGACCAACCTCAGGTTAACAGCTGTTTGGTGAATCGGTTTGACGGCACAAGCAGCACCTTGCCTAGACACTCTGATAACGAGCCTTCTATCCACCCGGAATCAAGTATCTTTACAGTCTCTCTTGGTACTGCATGTCATGTTTCTTTCTCTGATGCTAGTACAGGTATTGATGAGCACAAGCAACTATGTGGCCCAGGATCATTATATGTAATGACTCGTCGTAGCCAAGCACTGTTCCACCATCGTATCGATGCAGGCGAGATAACTGGGCTGCGCTACAGTATAACATTGAGATCAGTCAGTTCCCTGAATAGAAACGCTACATGTATCATTGGGGACTCAAACACCGGCGGACTGAAATTCGGTTCTGATCCTGCCAAGTCATTCGGCAAATGGCTTCCTGGAAAACGATTCTTTGCCCCAACTGTCGATAGTATTGATCCTTATGTGTCCTGTGGCTATAGAAACTGTGTTATATTGTGTGGGGTTAATGACCTGAAACAAACAGCTGATGTAAAAAGCCAAAACGATATTGATATAATCTACAACCATCTAGTTTCAAAAATTGCCCAGATTCAATCTATTAATCCGGGTGTGCATGTATATGTTTGTCCAACAATTCCTTCTAAACGTGCTGATTTAAATAGAAAGCTTATATACTTTAACAGTTTGATTCGATGTAGGCTGCTCCCGTCCAATTTTGGTGTCAGTTATGTGGATGGATTTGATGAGTTCTGTGATAGGGATGGTCTGCTTGACCGCTCTCTCTCTCGCGACCTCAACAAATACCAAAAACCGGACTTCCTTCACCTCAACTGGAGGGGACTAGCAAAGTTAGGTCAATTTATTCGTAACACTGTTCTTCTCAGGATTAACGGTGGTATCGACAAAAGGAAGAGGAGGTCCACAAGGGTAGACGATAGATCCTACAGGGATGCGACTGCTGGAAGAGAAACTGGTCCTGTTGTTCCTGCTGCTGCTAGTCAGGGTCATGTGGATGGTTACCAACCATGACTCCCCTCATTAAGGAGGTATGTCCTGTCTGTTCTAAGAACATAGTCATCGGCCAAACAATAGTTGAATGTTTTCACTGTGACTGCATAATGCACCATAAATGCTATCGCAAATCAAATCCAAATAGCCAATCTAATGAGTTTTACTGTACTCGTTGTATCCATTTAGACAAGGTTAAATACAACCCATTTAAACTACTCACTGACAATGACGACGACGACAACAACCTAGACGAATACACAACTAAAATCTCAAATACTTTAAATGATTGTAACTCATACACTGCATCTGACCTTACAAATATTCTCTGCAACCAAGTAAAGAAACAATCATCTATTCTCTTTCAAAATATTGATGGAAATAAATCAAATTTTGACAACCTTACCATTGAAACCTGTAGGTACAAAACAAAATTCTCCGTAATAGCCCTAGCTGAAACCAACACTGGAAAAGAATTAAGCAATCTATTTCAGCTCGACGGTTATAATAGTTACTATCAGGACACAGCACCTAACAAACAAAAGGGCACTGGAGTAGCCCTTTATGTTGACGATAAATTAAATGCTACTGTAATTGAGAATATATCACAAGTCACAGAACATCTAGAAATACTTGTCTTATCATTAAGTAACGAAGATCAACCTGTTAATGTAGGTGTTTTGTATCGTCCACCAAGTGGCTGTATTTCCCAAGCTCTAGTTGAACTTTCTAACCTTCTTGATCACATGCCGAAGTTTAGTTATCTAGCTGGAGACTTTAATATCGATCTTCATGATAAAGATAACAAAAATGTTCAAAAATATGAAGAAATATTATTCAGTAAAGGATTTTGTCCGTTAATATCTATTGTTACCCACGAAAAACCAGGCTGTAAAGCATCCTGCATAGACAACATTATTACTAACGATATTGAGAATGTGATTACTTCAGGCACCCTAAAAGAACGAATAACTCATCACTCACCTATTTTTAACACATTTAACTGGAATGTTGAAGTCAACTCTGAAAAAACTTCTTTTAAACAATATTACGACTTCTGTCAATCAAATGTTAACGGCTTCCTAGTGGATCTTGAAGATGAGCTTAAAACTAAAACAATCCATAACTTTACTGAATTCCATGACACTTACAAAAACTGCGTCGAAAAATCGTTTAAACTAGAGACCCCGAAAACCTCTAAGAGAACTGTTCAGGTTAACCCTTGGATAACTCCCGGTCTCATTTGCTCAATTAATAATCAGCATAAACTGTACGAAAATTGGGTTGAGATAAGAAATAGAAAATGTAAACTCGGGGAAACTGATAACAAGGGCGGCATTTGCCAGTGCCCTGAATGCTCACTAAAACGTAGTCGCTACCTTATCTACAAAGAATACAGAAAAGTCCTAAAGAAAACACGTCAAACTGTGAAAACAGAATACTTCTCTGGTAAATTTGCTGAAAATAGCGGTGATAGTAAAAAGACCTGGGAACTAATAAATCGTATAAGAGGTAAACGGCGGCGTGAAATAAAGCCGCTGTTCACCATAGACAACGTTAAGATAACAAATAGAAGGATCATAGCAAACGAATTCAATAAATATTTTGTATCATTAGCCTCTGACCTAAATACCGCTTACAATGATCTTGGACAAATTAACATAAACAGTATACCTAGTTTCTATGATTATCTACCGCTTTCAAACACTTCCAGCATTTACATGCATGACTGCACAACAGACGAGGTTAGCAAAATCATATCTGAACTTAAAAATGGCAAGGCAAGTGACATACCGATTCATGTAATTAAGCAGTCCTCTAAAATAGTTACTCCTTTACTCACTGTACTGTATAACGAATGTATGAAAGATGGCATATTTCCAGATGACCTTAAAGTTGGAAGGATTAGTCCCATTTACAAGAAAGATAACCAGGAACTCCTTGAAAACTATAGACCTGTATCAACGCTAGCTGTGTTTGGTAAAATATTTGAAAAGATTATATTCAATAGATTATACAGCTTCTTTCATTCACAGAACTCCTTATATGAAAACCAGTACGGATTCCGTAAAAATCACTCGACCAGTTATGCCCTAAATTACTCAGTGAACCACGTAGAATCTTGCCTCAAGAAAAAACAACACGTTCTTGGAATATTTATTGATCTTAGTAAAGCCTTTGATACAATATCACATGAAAAGTTACTGCATAAGTTAGAAAATTATGGAATCCGTGGAAATGCAAACAACCTTATAGCAAGTTACCTGTCGAACAGATACCAGTATGTCTCAGTATTAGGTGAAGACTCCGAGAAACTTCCAGTAGTCTATGGAGTGCCGCAGGGGAGCTGTCTTGGTCCCTTACTTTTTATTATTTATATTAATGACATCCGTAACTCATCAATTATAGGAAAGTTTATACTATTTGCCGACGACACTAACATATTTATAGAAGACACATGTGTCAAAAGACTATACGAAAAAGGAAATGAAGTTCTATCATTTGTGTACAAGTATATGAAACTAAACTTATTACATATTAACATTAAGAAATGTTGTTTTATTCATTTTAAACCCTCACGGGCCAAAGAGGAAGTAGAAAATGACGAGAACATACTAACTTTAAATAATGTAGTTATTAAAAGAGTTCAAGAAGCTAAATTTCTAGGCGTTAT